TCTTTTTATGCAGTGAATGTAAACTTCTGGTCTCAACTGTATACAGTCAGACAGACGACAGAGTCGAGGATCACCGCTGCCTCTTGTGCAAAGGTGACCTCTGCTCATTTTTTCACCACAACTTTAAATCATTAAATTGAAAAGCAGATTGGTTGTTTTGTGTTTACTTTTCACACAGCCTGGGTGTGATATCTGTCCTGTGTTGGCAACCATGCAGATATTTGCTGTCAAAACTGGGTCAGTCTTTGACGCACAGAGAAACAACAACTATCACTGAAAAGGGTCATATCTGCTGTTTATTTGGAAATGCAGTCGATCTACGATATGAAAAGATAAGCTGTAATTGATTCAACCAGGAAGCAGGAGCATGAACATTTGTGAAGACATTACTTTTCACTACCTTTAGGTTAAGTTAAAGAAGTTTGATCTGCCTTTATGATGTTAATACTTTAGTATGTACAAACTGTAATTGCAAAGTTCTGGTTCGGCTTTTTGTTGTGACATAATATTAACACATCACTGCTGAGATATTAACATACCTATGCAATGACATGTTCTGGGGGAAAAAAACAACAGTAATGGGTGTGGAGAGCCGTATGCAGGTTGTAAATATGGGTAAATTTGATGTAAACTTATTATTTTTCTCAGCAACACTTCACAGAGAGATCAAGTTGTGCTGTTCCATTTGATATGAGTGGCACCTCGCTACAATAAATATTTTGAGAGCAAATCAGCAAAGAAGGTGAAATGTGATTGTTCACACAAAGTGCATGTGTGTGGTTGTGTGTCAAAGCCTCTAACACCTTATAGGCAGCAAGTGGAAGGCACACGCAGAATAACAACAGAAGAAATATAAATAAATCAGTTTGAAAATGTGAAGAGATCCATAGAGGGTGGTCTGTCGGCCAAGTAGGGGATTTGTTTTCCTGTGAGAGTTCACTCACCCCTCACTCTTCTTGTAGAGGACTCCGGAGCGCTCGGTGCCGTGGGCCTTGTTTCCCTGCAGCTGATGGAGGCTGTAACCTGCGTTCTGCTTCGCCTGAGAGTCCTGAGGTGAAATGAAATTAAGATAAATCACTTTTTATAAACTTAAAACTTAATTGCACCAGAATTGTCATGCATTTAAATGAGGACAACATTACAAATGAGCACCGATGTAAATTCTGACGGGAGGAGTTGAAAAGTTTACATGTGAGATCAAGGTAGTGATATTGGCACAAATATAAAAACTAAATCAAAGTGCACTTGGTTCTTCAGCCTCAAGGAGAGGCACAGGGTGGACATATTGAACGTCCAAGGAAGTTACCAAATATGGTCACTTGCCCCATAAAGGGTTCATGACACCATCAGTTGTGTTGTGTGGAAGTAGTGTTGGTACACAACAAACTGCCTCATTCAAACACTGTAGTAACCCATGTTATGGCAAGAAGCGCCAAGAAACAACAGTCCATCTTTACTTTTATACACGAAGGTCAGTCAGTCCTGAACATTTCAAGACATTCCTTTAAAGTCATAAAGGGTCAAATGCTGTGATGAAACTGGCTCTCATGAAAACCCCTCCAGGAAAAAAGACCAAGAGTTTCCTCCGCTTCGGATTTCAAGAAACCACTACTGAGGAAGACCAGGAAGAAGAAAAAGAGAACTGCCTCGACTGAGAAACACAAAAAAATGGACACCAGACCAGTGGAAATCTGGATTTATCTGATGAGACTTCTAGTTGCAGCTGCTGTGTCTTTGTGAGCCAAAGAGAAGGTTAATAGGTGGGATCTGCATGTGTGGTTCCTACAGTGGAGCACAGAAGAAGAGCTGTGGTGGTGTTTGTTCAGGATTCTAGGCAACACAGCACCAACATGGCGACCACAGCCTCCTGCAGAGACACACCATCCCATCTGGTTTGACCGTCGGGGGACCATCACTAGTTTGTCAGCAGGACACTGAACTAAAACACAGCTCCAGTCTCTGAAAGAGCTCTTTGGCCAGGAAGCAGAGTGATTGATCACACCCAGCTGAGATGGTTTGGGATGATTTGGAGCGCAGAGTGAAGGAAACAAGCGCTCAGGATATGCAGGAAGAAAACAAAAGCTCCAGGTGACGACCTCGTGAAGCTGGTCGGAGGATGAAGAGTGTCAAAGCTGTGAGCAAAGACGAAGGAAGCGATACATCGAATATTTAAAACATGTAGATTTTTTTTCCCTCTAGAGAATTTCATGTGTCGTTTCATAGTTCCGGTATTTTTAGTTTTGTTCTTCTGTAGAAATTCAAAAAAAAATCCTCGAATGAGTCGCAGTTTCAGTGCTGTTTTTGTTTTCTCTTCTGAAGTCTGATGGCTCAGCAGCACATGTTTAGGCTTTATGTCCACCACAGTGTCAAAAAAGGGGAGTTTTTTTTCCACACATAAGCAGCAAATAAATGGTTTTGTGTTTGGATTAAACATCTGTTGTTTAAAATGAGTTTCTCACCTCTTTGTGCTCCGACTGCAGGGAGGCCTTCAGGACGTCTCGGAGCTGAGTCAGCTGCTTCCGCTCTCCATCCTGAGTCTGTTTAATCTGAACAAAAACAGTTGGAATTTAATGTCCTCGTGCACTTTCTTTTGTATATTTTCGTAGCGTTCAAGGTAGCCGACAGTAGATAGAAGCTGTTTACTGTGATCAATAAGTGAGCTCTGGTGTCGCTTTCTAATATTTCTGCAGAAACAGTCGGTCCTCACCGTGGTCAGGTCTGTGGCCAGTTTCTCCACAGATGGTCTCAGGCTCTCCACAGCTTTCAGTCCGTCCTGAAAAAAACTGAAGAAAAAAAACAAATTAAAAAAAAAAAAACATGGAGTTTTTCACCAAAATAAGATATGCTTAAAAACTTCCAGGACAATATGAACGAACAACATAACAAAATGAAGGCGTCGTGAGTTATTTCATCGTCGCTGCTGAAGGAGATTAATGACCACATTTTATTATTACGACCTTGTCTCTAAATTCAGTTCCTCATTCATTTGCTTAGTCCCAGATTTTAACTAAATCAAATAAGGTGGATGCTTTCTTAACTTTTATTTAGACAAATTGCATAAAGTGACTATGGTTGTGTCTGTGTGTGTGTGTGTTTTTTTTTTTTTGACATACTTGCACTGAGCGTGGAAATACTTGATGAGGTTCTGGAGGAAGTCGACGCCTTTCTTCACTTTGATCTCGTTCACTTTTAGCAGATACTGTTGATAGAAAACAGACAGAAGAACGTAAATTGAATTCTATAGCTCACCGAATAAATTGTAAATAAAAATGTGGATAAAAACTGACAACGCAGGCAAAGTTTAAAGCCTGCCTGAGAATCCATTATCTATACACCGCTTAATCCTCACTAGGGTCGTGGGGGGCTGACTCCTGTGGCCTCACCTCACACATCTGCAGCTGGAAGAGTCGCCTCTCCTTCTCCATCTCCTCAGCGATCTCTCCTCCACTGAACTCCGTCCGGATCATCCCGTGCTGCTTGGCATGCTCCCTCTTCTCCTTCTCGATCTTCGCTCTGCAGAGGTCAAAGCTCAAGTTAGAGTCATCATCACAAATATTTATACATCTGTGGTTCTTGCTCTGTTGCAATTTCTGAAAACAGTTTTTTTCAGAACATTGACACCTTTACAAACTGAATGGGACTGTGGGCATTACGTCAATGACAGAAAAAGTGTCGCAAATCCTGCAGAAGGTAAACAAAAACAGATAAGTGACTTTTTTTCTTACAGCTTGGTCTCGTAATCTTTCCAGGCTTTATCAAACGGCTTCTTTAGGTCCTGTAGGAGAAGCAGAGACGTCACACAGTTAGTGCGAGCTGCCAGCAATCACTCACCCAGCAAACACAGATAGAGAGGACTTTGATCCGTGAGTCTCCCTGCAAGTATTTTAAGACGATAACGCGTGCGAGTGTTTTACGCTGATAAGAAAAACAAGAGGGAACTCGACTTTGAAGTGTTTTTGACAGCTCAGATTTTATTTTGTAATGTCATATTGGATCGGAAGTAGATAAATGATAAAGCAACATCAGATTTTATCTAGAAGTGTCAAGAAATGTGACGGAGCAGCATTTTTAGGCTATTTTAGAACTTCTTTTGTGGTATTATGGTAATGTGGTACTTTCCACACTTCACTGAACATAAACTCTTAAAAGATATTCCATCAAGCTGATCTCCAACTACTTCCTTCTCTGTGTACTATTTTTGAGCTGTGCTGTATTTGTTTCATTAATCCATCATGTTTTATTTTCCTTTCGGTCCGTCTTGTTGTCTCCTCACTGTTCTCTGTAAACACTGCCTACAGTTCACCTGAATTTTCATCACGTGACTGCTGGTTGCAGCTAAATCAAAAATGGCTTCTCATTTGTCGGAAGGAGCACAGAATGTTTTACAGAATCTGGTGCACACAAGACATTTTGGGCGATTTTTAAGAATATTGTGGTAATAAACTTGTTTTTTCTAATGGAACTGTACGTCAATAATGATGTGTTCAAAGACCACTAGAAAGCTGAAAGTCCAGTGATTCTGTCTGTTTTGATAGTTTCTGGTTCCGACGTATGGTGTAAACCTGCCACTTAAAAAAAAAAAAAAAAAAAGTTTCTGGTTCCGACGTATGGTGTAAACCTGCCACTTAAAAAAAAAAAAAAAAAAANTACCAAAATTATTTGTATTTGCTAAATGCCATAATAATGAGAGAGAGATTTTTTTATTACTTTCTTCAAATTTTGCCTTTAAACTGTATGACTGGGGTCAAACATTTTGGGTTTCCTTCCACAAGCTTGTCACAATAGTTTACTGAAACTTTGGCCCATTCCTCCACCAGAACTGGTGGAACTGAGTCAGGCTTGTAAGCCGCCTTGCTCAGACGCCTTTTCAGTTCTGCCCACAAATTTTCTCCAGGATTGAGATCAGGGCTTTGTGATGGTCACTCCAAAACATGGACTTTGTGGTCCTTAAGCCACTTTGTAACTAATCAGGCGGTATGTTTAGGGTCATTGTCCATTTGGAAGACTTATTTGTTCCCAAGCTTTAACTTCCTGGCTGATGTCTTGAGATGTTGCTTCAATATTTCCACATAATGTTCTTTCCTCATGATGCCATCTATTCTCTGAAGTGCACCAGTCCCTCCTGCAGCAGAACAGCCCCACAACATGATGCTGCCACCCCCGTGCTTCACAGTTGGGATGGTGTTCTCAGGCTTCAAGCTTCCCCCTTTTTCCTCCAAATGTAACAATGGTCATTATGGTCAAACAGTTCAGTTTTAGTTTCATCAGACCACAGGACATGTCTCCAGATATTAAGGTCTTTGTCTCTGTGTGCATTTGCCAACTGTAATCTGGCTTTTTTATGTTGCTTCTGGAGTAATGACTTCTTCCTCTCTGAGTATCCTTCCAGCCCATGTCGGTACAGGACTGGTCTCACTGTGGATAATGACTCTCTGACCAGCTTCAGCTGCATCTTCACAAGGTCTTTAGCTTTTGTTCTGGGGTTGATTCACACATTTCTCACCAAAACACTTCATCTCTGGACACAGAACCCGTCTCCTTCCTAAGCGCTATGATGGCTGGACATTCCCATGATGTTTATAGTTGTGTATAATTGTTTGAACAGATGAACGTGGAACCTTCAGGCATCTGGAAATTGTGCCCAAGGATGAACCAGACTTGTGGAGGTCCACAGTTCTCTTCCTGATATCTTTAGATTCTTCAGAAGGAAGCTGTGTGTTTGAGGCGTGACTTAAAATACATCCACAGGTTTGCCTCCAATTAACTCAAATGTTGTCAATTAACCTATCAAAAGCTTCCAAAGCCATGACATCATCATCTTGGCTTTCAAAAATAGTTTGAAGGCATCTTAGTGGATGTAAACTTCTGACTTTGAAGAAAGTAGTAAAAAATTATCTAAAAAATTCTCTCTCTCATTATTCTGGCATTTAGCAAATAGAAATAATGATGGTAATCCTAACTGACCTAAAACAGGAAAAGTTTAGTCACATTTAATGTCAGACAGTGAGAAAATAAAGGTTATGTGTCTTTTTATGCAGTGAATGTAAACTTCTGGTCTCAACTGTATACAGTCAGACAGACGACAGAGTCGAGGATCACCGCTGCCTCTTGTGCAAAGGTGACCTCTGCTCATTTTTTCACCACAACTTTAAATCATTAAATTGAAAAGCAGATTGGTTGTTTTGTGTTTACTTTTCACACAGCCTGGGTGTGATATCTGTCCTGTGTTGGCAACCATGCAGATATTTGCTGTCAAAACTGGGTCAGTCTTTGACGCACAGAGAAACAACAACTATCACTGAAAAGGGTCATATCTGCTGTTTATTTGGAAATGCAGTCGATCTACGATATGAAAAGATAAGCTGTAATTGATTCAACCAGGAAGCAGGAGCATGAACATTTGTGAAGACATTACTTTTCACTACCTTTAGGTTAAGTTAAAGAAGTTTGATCTGCCTTTATGATGTTAATACTTTAGTATGTACAAACTGTAATTGCAAAGTTCTGGTTCGGCTTTTTGTTGTGACATAATATTAACACATCACTGCTGAGATATTAACATACCTATGCAATGACATGTTCTGGGGGAAAAAAACAACAGTAATGGGTGTGGAGAGCCGTATGCAGGTTGTAAATATGGGTAAATTTGATGTAAACTTATTATTTTTCTCAGCAACACTTCACAGAGAGATCAAGTTGTGCTGTTCCATTTGATATGAGTGGCACCTCGCTACAATAAATATTTTGAGAGCAAATCAGCAAAGAAGGTGAAATGTGATTGTTCACACAAAGTGCATGTGTGTGGTTGTGTGTCAAAGCCTCTAACACCTTATAGGCAGCAAGTGGAAGGCACACGCAGAATAACAACAGAAGAAATATAAATAAATCAGTTTGAAAATGTGAAGAGATCCATAGAGGGTGGTCTGTCGGCCAAGTAGGGGATTTGTTTTCCTGTGAGAGTTCACTCACCCCTCACTCTTCTTGTAGAGGACTCCAGAGCGCTCGGTGCCGTGGGCCTTGTTTCCCTGCAGCTGATGGAGGCTGTAACCTGCGTTCTGCTTCGCCTGAGAGTCCTGAGGTGAAATNATTGGTGATTCTAAATTGTCCGTAGGTGTGAATGTGAGTGTGGGTGAGAAACCTTTTATCGTAGCTTTACTGCTTCCTGCCATCGAAGGGCAGAATGGAACAAATCATGAATTAATGATTTCAGACATTAATCAGCAATATTGAAACTGTACAATCTCTGCAGCCCAGACAGAAAGGAAATCATGTGAATGTTGTTGAACTAAGTGTGTTTGTTTATTGACACATTCAGACAGAAGAAACTGAAAGACAAACCCCTTTCACTCCTTTCAGGTCTCCCTTCAGCAGACTGTCCAGAGGGAAGGTGATGATGTTGTTCATGTTCTGCATCTGCAAACAGAAAGTCGTGTCACTTTAAACTGCAGGTCAGACTTACATCCAGTCCGTGGCTCTTATGTATTGTCATACAATCTGGATACAGCTGAGCATCTAATTTTCAGCACAATGACATTTAACAAGATGCATCCTCAATCACTCTTTGAATCAACAATGCTGCACAGCTGGTAAAACTTTTATGAGTTACTCTGTTCTCTATTCGGGGACGTAAGAGGAACATGTGTTGGTCTTTCAGTGGGATCAGTGTGATAATATTAGAAGCATCTCAGAAGGACCTGAAAACTGAAACTTTCAATCATCTGTATTCTGAAATTACTAAATACATTCAGAATTTTTGGGTCAAATTTCCCGAGTAACAGATCAAAATCATTTTGCTTTTATCCAGCTGGTTACAAGAGAGTGGCAGTCAAACCACCTTCTGGGTTTCTGAGAGGCCGCCTGGTATTTATTCTTTTCGGTTCCTCACCAGGTTTTTAAAGAGCGCCGTGAGTTCCTTGGTAAAAACGGCGAACTTGAGGAAGGCGGAGCCGACCTCGGCGTCCTCCCTGCACACACAGTTGTCCCCGAACTTCTCCATGGACTGGATGTACTGCTCCTCATTGTCCACATGAGCTACAACAAGCAGAAAGAACTTTAGCCGGATGCCACGGACAGAAACACACACTGGAATTCACAATCATGTGATTCTGGGTGAATAAATCTACATGTACAGAGTCTTATAGAAGGGATCAGTTAAGAGAACGGCTGCTTGAGGATGACGGCAGACAGATGTGTGTTCTCAGACAGTCATCAGTCACAAACAACAACCATCAGCCACCAAAAAGAAAATAATTGAAGAAAGAATAAAAATTACAGGAACATAAAATAAATAAAACACGAGAAAAAATAAAATAAAATAACAAAAGAATGAAATTAAAACAGCAAAAGCAAAAAAAAAAGTTAAGAGAAATCATAATTAAATAAATAAAAATAGAAGAATACAAATGATAATAAATGACTATAATTAACAAAATAACAAATAGAAATGAAAAAACTGAAAAGAAAGCAAAATGATTTTTTTTACAGTAAAGAAATAGAAATGAAAAAAAAGACATTAAAGAAAAACAAATGATTACAATAAATAAAAAAACAAAAAGGCAAGAAAAAAAAGTTTAAAAATTCAATAAAAAAATGTTACTATTAAAAAAAAGAATGATAATTAATGTCAATATCATGATAATATTTATATAAATAATGTTTAAATAGGGTCGTATTTATTTGTGTTAAACCATTTAACTTGTATTTGACTAGTTTAAGTTCAGATTGCTTTAACACTATGGACCAGCCTGAGATGTGTTTGTAAAACCGTTGTTTAGCTCGATGTCGTGGGAACAGGACCTTTATCATGATTGAAAATGAAGTGAGAGTGATTCTCTCATATCCACAAAGGACAATATAGAAAACAACACCAGACTTCTATTTTAAAATCCACCTCCAAGACATTATTTAAGTCAGATATTCAATCATATTAATGTTAAATCCTCTTTTCTTTTCTGAACACCAGAAGTGTGAGGTGTCCACACACTTCTGGCCATGTAGTGCATTAAAACTGCTCTTTCTGGTTCACAGCTGAGTTGTGTAAGAGTTTGTTGATGAGTGTCCCGCCAGAATTGTTGCCAGCTCGCTGACAGAACTGCTGAGTAAAGCTCAGGCAGCCTCCCCGTTTATCTGCCTAATAATCTAGATATTAAGTCTTTATTTGCAGAGTGTGCCTGGTGGGATTCGGCCTCTCTGCCCTCTGTGAGCTCCAACAGACGGATGATGGATGGATGAGGGCGGCTCTCCCTCGGCGTGCTGGGACAGGAGGCAGTATGACAGGAATGTTTGGAGGAGAGACTCCACCTGCCTGAACACAAACCCACCAACCACACTCAGCGCTGCTGTGTTATCACTCAGCGGACTGCAGCTGAAACACGCTGCACGCAATTAAAACAGTTTCTACTTTTATCTGCAGTTTCTCTCTGAGCAGACAAACAGGAAGTGAAAGATGGAGTGAGGTTCTGTGGTGAGGAGCTCTTGTATTTTTGGACGCACTGAGATGAAACTGTGTCTCTTACCCAAACCAGACGTGTTGATGGCCTTCACCGACTTCTTGATCTTGTACAGAACCGATCTGTCCACGTCCAGAGCCTGAAGAGGACAAACAGTCAAAGCACGGAGATCAGTCACAGTGGAAAGAAGTAGAAGTCAAAGTCTTCTTAGGATAAAGAACAGTAGTATTATTAGCAAACTGGGGCATCAGAACTTAAGAGCATTGATTGCATACATTAAAGTCAGACTGAAGAGACTAAAGCCAGCACTACTTTTGGCTAAAATGATGTGTTAAACAATTGGTCACCCATTCACAAACACATTCATACACTAATGGTGACAGAGCTGCCATGCAAGGTGCTGCCTGCCACTGGGAGCACCTTTTGGGTTCAGTGTCTTGCCCAAGGACATTTCGACTGTGGAGAGGCGGGGGATCGAACTGCCAACCTTGCGATTGGAAGACAACCCGCTCTACCACCTGAGCCACAGCCGGCCAAAGGGAGCCCCGGGCCAAAGTTTTAAAACCGTTAACAATTGTTATTGGAGATGGATAAATAGATGACTACAAAGAGATGTAGAACAGCCAAGAGACACACAAAATTACCATAAAGAGACACAACACCACAAAAAACAGACACAAAGTCACCAAAGGCCACAAAAAGACAAAAATTATGAAAAAGAGACAAAAAAAAAACCAAACAACAGATGCAAAATGACCACTAAGAGTCAAAAACAACCACAAAGAGACAATAAACAATAAAAGAGACCCAAACCAACAACATAAGAGATACAGAACAACCACAAGAGACGTAAAATGACTAAAGAGACACACAATTACCAAAAACAAAGAGAGGCAAAACACAAAAAGACACAAAATGAGCCCACATGAGATATGAAACAACTGCAAAGACGCACAAAACGACCAGAAAACGTCAAAAATTAATGCAAAATAACACAAAAAGGAAAAAAAAAACGACAACAAATAGATGCAAAAGGGCCACAGACATAAAATAAAACAGACACAAAATGACCACAAAAAAGTTGCAAAACAACTGCAGAGACAAAAAACGACCACAAAAACCTCCCGAAAATGATCACAAAGGATGCAAAACGATTGCAGAGAGACTCAGAGCAAACGCAAAAAGACACAAAATAACCATAAAGAGGTAAAACACCACCAAGAAGACACACAAAGCAAGCACAAAGAAACACAACGACAAAAACTACCACAATAAAATCACCATAAATATAAAAGAAACACAAAATGACCTCAAAAGGGTCAAACAGCCACAAGTGAAGCTAACAACACACAGAGATTCATAACAACCACAAAGAGACACGAAACGACAACAAGAGCTGCTACTGCTATAAGTTCAAGTCTCATCATCTGCACGTTCTTTTAAAAGACCTGCAGGGCGACACAATATCACACACAAAGTTACAAAACTGTCAGAATTCGGACGCTGAAACAAGACGTCAAACCGCATGAACATTAAAACAAGAGACTCATTGACCTCAGAGTTCACAGCAGCCTTTAGTTCATTGTAACGCTAAAACTTCATTCAAAAAGTGTCTGCAGCAGCGAATGGGAAGCCTTTCCATCCGTCAGAACCCTGCAACGCACTGCAGATACGAGTCCGTGGTCTGAAGGTTTTATTATAAGATAAATTCAGTTTGCAAACACATGAGACGAGTTTGATAAAACCAGAATACTCCAGCGACACCGAGACAAGTCCGACATGAAGACTCTGTGCTGCTGTGTCTAAAATAAAAACTGCAGCGTCTTCACATGTTGCTCAAAAAGAAAGCTCGTCAAGCTACACCAAGATGTCCTTACCAGCCACTAGCATCTATTTTCTGTCAACAGCATCTGTGGGCTTTTTGCTAAATGTAATATGATGTAGAAAAAAAAAAGAAGCTATTTTTAAAATGCTCTGATGAAGGTGTGCGTGACTGACAGAAGGCTCTGACAAGATTTCCTCCTTGGTGGTGCATTCAAAGACACCGAGATGAAGAAGCACTGCGTGATAAGCAGGCAGTCATGAAATCAGGTAAAAAAAAATGTTAAAATTAAAGGCGAAAAAGCCCAGAAAATAAATAAATTTAAAAAAATCTCCCACCACATAAACACAAAATCATACAAAAAGACGAGTCAGTCGTACGCAAAAATGAGACGTGAGCAACAAAGATCGTAGCAAAGAACAGAGCTTAACAAACCAAAAACAACAAAAAATCAGTCCCTCAGTGCTCATAGAGAAAGCTGCAGAATGTCTAAAAGCATGACAATAATCCAGTGGCTCACTTCCTGGTTCTGCCTTTAACAAGTCAAATAAGTGACTCAGCAGGAAACAGACAAAACCTAATTCAAAGAAAACAGTTTTGTGAGCGACTCAACTTCTGCCCTGACCAGGTGAGGTCAGCCGTTTGTCTGGTTTCACTGGAGTTTAACTGTGAGCAGCATAAACCTCCCGAAACGAATTCAAATCACAGTGAAAAAAGATCATCCAATCATTGATCTATTGATTGATTAGATAGTAAAACACAGTCAAACGTTCTCTGACTCCAGCCAGTAAAACAAGAGGATAAGCTGTTTTTCTGTCATGTGCAGGAAGTAAATTACACTTTGTATTACGCCCAGCACACGTTCCACCTGGACTTCTAGTAAGTGCGACATCTCAAGACTCTAGATTAGCCTTTTCTACTGGTAGCACCGGTTCAACCAACCTACCAAATTAATTACTTAGGGAGGGACCAAACCCTATTGATCAGGCTGGCATGCTGATGAACAGTTGCTTTTGTATATCTTAGTTTTGCATGAATCTAAAGGCTGACAGTAACTCCAGGCTTTACGAGGTGTGTCAGAAAAGTTCCAGGACTGGTGTCACAAAAGATATATTTCAAATCCAAACTACAAACTACAAGTTTTCCTCTTCCAAGTAATCCTCCTGGAGTCGAACACACTTTCCCAACCTTCTCTGCCACACCGCCATGCACTCCTGGAAGGATTCTTCCAGGATCTTCCTCAGCTCCATCATCACTGCCATCTTGATGTCGTCCATGTCTTCTAAACGGGTCCTCTTGATGACCCCCTTGAGCTTGGGGAGGCGGAAAAAATCCCACAGAGCCTGGTGGGGTGAGGAGGGAGGTTGCTCCAGCACGGTGATGTTCTTCTCAGCCAGGAACTGTGGGATGCTCAGCTCATTGTGAGCAGGTTGTCACGGTGAAGCAGCCTCCACTTGTCCTGCAGCAACTCTCACATCTTCTCACGCACTGAGCGAAGCAAACGCTGCAGGATCTCTCTGTAGACGTGCTGGTTGATGGTCTGGAGTTGAGTTTGTAGTTTGGGTTTTGAAATATATGTTTTGTGACGCCAGTCCTGGAACTTTTCTAACACACCTCGTATATGTGGCCTGAGGTGGTCTGATACGACTGCTATGAACTGGACACAGGCTGAACTCCTCACTTACTGAAAATCTGCTCAGCAAGAGACACTACAACTTGTTCGTATGTTCGTTAAATGTCTCACATACATGCTAAGCTGTGAACAGAGAAGCCTCCAGTCTCAACTATGTTACTGCAAAGCAGATGCTCAGACAGCTGTGGGACCAAGAGTTAGTTTGAAAACGACTGAAAAAAAAAAAAGGTGTTCTGGTGTCATATTTACTCAACGTAATATTAAGTGATTGCATCTACATGGACGCCACTATTACAGCTGATCACGTTCAATAAACAGTGAACAACAGTGGATTCATTTTGCAGCTCTGGTACTGTGATTGAATGTAGTAAGTCATTGGGAACCTCTCCTCCTCCTCCTCCTCTCTCCTAGTTATACTTTTTAAAAATAATTAGCTGTAAATCACTTCATCTTTGGAACACGGTAGCAGCTTAGTGGATTGTTTCATTAGAAGATGATTGACTGAGTTCATGAAGAGCAAAAACAACCGAAACAGTCAGAATGCAGCGAAATGGCCAATTGATCATCATCATACAAATGTGATCATGTGAAAACTTTTAACTCTGGAGCCCTGCATGTGCTGTTTAAATGTTCCTTAAACTGCAGTGCTGAACCTTTGTCTTCCTCTTCGAGCAGTGAGAGTGATTACACAACACTGTTGGTGCAAATCATTACAATGTATGCCTCCCCTTTGACATCTGTTTTCATTAGTCTCTAATTCTTCCTCTTTCTTTTTGATCTGCAGCACCACTTTTCTTGGACATCTATGTCCATAGATTCCACCACGTTCCAAGTTGCTGTAACGAACTACTCCATCAACATATGTGTAGATTCCCAGTCATCCAGGTCATGGTCGTCCTAGCAGCTTCACAACTAACCACCTGATTGTCTCTTTAAGGTTCTTGAAGACGTTACACTTCAGTTAGAACTGAAGAAGCCTCTTGGATGAGAAGTAAAACATCTTCAAAAACCTAAAGAGAAGTCCGGGTGATTTCTACTGAAGCTGATAGGATTCAGTATAATTAATGTCTTCAGCTCTGACAAATCCGTCATTAAACACATCTCTAAATAATGTCGCCACAATTAAAACTCTTAACCTGCAGTGTGGAAACTCGTTTTGCTTGAATGTAACAGATGCATATGTAAAAGTCCAGCAGTTTTAATGTTCCAAACAACACTGGGTATACAAACGTGAACTTGAGTGGGTAACTTATCTAATAGTGAAATAAGAAGAGATCCTGCCGGTTTGTCAGCGGTCATAAAACTGGCACAACCCTGCTCCAAACTGCAGGACCAAGGAAGTCCTTTAAATTTGCTGGACACACCTTGACGCCTCATCTTAAGTGACTGGAAGATCCTTGAAGAACCTTGATAAATTTCCAGTTCAGTTCCAGGAAACACAACTACCAGAATAGAAAGTAGCTGTTGAATTGAACATAGACTGTCATACTGATGCTAATAAAAATGTAGCATCAGTCTGCCGTGCACACATTCTTAAAGCTCCACAGTCAGCAGCTGTCAGCTTAGCGTCTCACTGTTTGCATTGATAAAACCACGATGTCCGTCACCTGACGTGGTCGACGCTTCACCCCGAACATGCAGATGCAGCATTCCTGCTCACCTCCCTGCTCAGGTTCACCTCAGAGTGTGCAGCTGCAGCTGACTCACAACTCAGTGACTCAGTGTGTGAAACATGCAGACGGGCCAGAAGCTCCATCACCATCTGACTCAGTGACAGCGAACAAAGTCTGGTTAAGATCTGTCCTGAAAACTAGGAGATGAGCTCATTTTCAAACTCTAGAATTCATTTTTAGATCATTCACAAAACACGACCAGGTGCTAGAACAACAGCTGGTCAGTCGTTGTGGTTAGTCAGCAGCTGTAGCTCTCATAACTTAGTGAACTCGAAAACAGACCTGCGAAGTGACTCCAAAATGACCACAAATACCACAAAAAGAAACAAAAGGACCACAAAGAGACATGAAACAACTACAAAAAGGCAGAAAGTGACTAGAAAGAGAAAAAAAAAGACATGAGGAGAGACAAACAAAAAAAGACAGAAAAAAGGACACAAAAGCGACAAAAAAATTAAAATAAAACTTAAAAAATGACTCCAAAGAGGCACAATATAGCAACTAAGTGACACAAAACAACCACAGAGATGCAAAATGACCACAAAACATATGAAATAAGACACAAAATGACCCTAGAAGGACACTTAATGACCACAGAGACACAGAATGAAGAAAAACAAAAAGACAAAACGGCCAAAAAGACACAAAATAACCACAAAAACAGAAAAAATAAACAAAAGTCAAAAAATGAACAAAAAGAGACACAAAATAACCACAAAAACAGATAAAATAAACCAAAAAAAGTAAAAAAAAAAATCAACAAAAGAGACACAAAATAACTGCAAAGAGACACAATGCAAACAAAAAGACAAAATGGCCACAAAGAAACACAAAAATTAACAAAAATAGACAAAAAAAAACTATGATGAAGTGAAAAAGCAATCTAGTGAGAACAAAAACGCACAAAACACAAGTGACATTAACGATCCAAAATGACCACATAAAGACACAAAATGACCGTAGAAAAGACACTAAAGACAAACAAAATGGACACAAAATTAACATCAAGACAATATGACCACATAGAGACAGTAAATGACCACAAAGTCAGACAAAATAAAAAAAAACTTCAAAAAATGAACAAAAAGAGACACAAAATAACTGCAAAGAGACACAACGCAAACAAAAAGACAAAACGGCCAAAAAGAAACACAGAATGAACAAAGATAGACAAAAAAAAACCAAACAACGATCATGAAGCGAAAAAGCAATCAAAACCAAAATAACAACAAAGAGACACGATACAAAAGTGACATCAACGATGCAAAATGGCCACATAAAGACACAAAAAGAGACACAAAATGACCCCAGAAAAGACACTAAAGACAAACAAAAGAGCTGCTCAGAACACAGTCAGCCATCTTATAACTGAGAACCTGTCTGAGAATCTCCCTGTTTAGAGGTTTTCTTTAGGATCACAGTAACCACTGATGGTTGTACATCCACGAGTCGCTGCAAACAGGAGCTGCTCACAGAGAATGAAGCTACTTTTATTGGCGCTTATTAGACAAAATGAAACCAAAACATGTGACATTTTGTCCAGCAACAACTGAGGAACCCAAATATCTTGAAGGTACATTCAGCAAGTGGACGTAACCACATTGCAAAAGGCTTTCCTCACGAAATCTGCTCTCTGTCAAGGATTAGAGAGGTTTTCACTGGCTTTTTACATGTCAGCATGTCCACAAACTTTAGCTCAGCTCAGCCAGCAGGTAAAAGGACATAAGTCATGACTCTGTAACGTACTGGGTGTATTTGGTTTTTCGCTGTCAAGTTCTTTAAATACTTTTACTGCTATGTGCAGTCAGACAGAGGCACCGATAATGTGCAAAACAGAGACACAGTGTTGATCTCATGTGTTTACTGTAATCATATTAACAGTCTGAAGACGAACAAGTGGGCGACGATTTATTGGTGTTAAAAAGACACAGAGCAGCTTTAACTCCTCTCAGGTAACTTCAGATTAACAAGTTGGGGCATGACAGGAGCACAGAGGAGGTTTAAAACAGAGGAACATTAAAAGTGAACCGAGAGAAAAGGGAGAGACAAAGAGACGGAGAGAACGAACAAAACAATGAGAGGAAAGATAAAAGATTAAAACAGGGGACGACTTAGCAAAGGGAAAACTATACGTTAGAGACGAAGGAGGTGAGATGAGTCTTGTTAGGACTCGATCAGACGGGTGAGGCCATCGCCTCAGGTCTGCTGGGCGGGAACGTCCCAGCATGCAACAGGAGGAGGAGGAGGACATGATAAGATGTTCAGACCTGTGATCTCACATCAGTTGTTCTGTTATAGTACAAAAATATTAAGTGCAAGAAGAAATGAAGAAATCTATTTTTTAATTGGACTCAAAAGCGAACTATCTTCCACCAACAAGTCTCCAGGACAGTGGAAAACCCGTAAAACCACCTAAAGCTCCTGGAAACCCCTTATTAAAACTGAAAGTGTCTCAAACGCATCTCTTCTTTAACCCTTTAACAGCCACAGGAGACCATGGATGCGATACTGAATGAGCCGAGCACTGCACCTGCTGTGCAAGACTTCAAAATGACCGCAAAAAAACGCAAAACAAGAGCAAACAGACGACCACTGTAACAAATTAGTAAAATGTGCTAAATGACTAAAACGACTAGAAAGAGGTGCTAAATGATTACAGAGACTCAAAACAGCCACAAGGGGATGCAAATCAACTAGCAACTAGCAAGGTGACCACACAGAGACAGAAAACGGTGCTCAGACTGGTGTGCGACCAAAAACTGACTTTAAAAAGATTAAACCAGGGCGTTCTAATGTCTGATTTGTCCAAGATGAAACCGAGTCATTTTGTCTTGTCTTTTCTATGAGCAGAAAAAAACAGCACATGTAGGTGCTCTGTTTTTCACAAGAAGACCACATTTCTAAGCCTAATACTGCAGTTCACCAAAGTTGTAAAAGTTCTGTTTTCCACCACTGTGTTGCTGCTGGTGGGACACAGTTATACCAGATTTCAGTGTGCAGTAGTTTGGGCAAAACTTCTGTGTGTCCTGGTGTAGTATTACATATGGACCCCCCTTGAAAATGGATCAATATGCCACAGCGGAATATGGATCCCCGGGTTAGGGTTAAGGTTGTTGTTATTCATTACCTGTTGAATTTTGTTGTCTATGTTCATATTTATGTATATTATTAAAAGTATTAGGGGGGTCCATATTCTATATGGGGGTCCATATTCCGTTGCGGAAAATGGACCCCAGGGTCCATATTCTATGGGGGTCCATTTACAATCTTACATCGGGACTCATTCAAAAACATCTACGATCGGACCAGAGACGTCCTGGCAAAAAAAAACAACACGAATGACCACTTGTGTGTCCTGTTCTGTGTTTCCTTCAGTCACATTGGTCACGATAACCCCGCCCCCAGCCCCGTGGTTCTTAGCTCTGGCCCAGCAAAGAGAGCCTGGAGCCGGTGTTTAGGTGGTGGAAACACAAAGAACTGGTGCTAAGTCAGGCTCTGGCTCCGAACTAGCACTGGAACCAGTTTGGTGGAAAAGGGGTACGTGGGGCCCATTCACAGATGTGTGCCCGGGGCTCCATAACTCATGGTGAGTCCCTGCAGGGGGCCCGAGCAGCAGCAGGAGGAAGAGGAGGAGGAGGAGGAGGAGGAGGAGTGAGCGCTCCTCATTCTCTTCACTTCACTGTGAGACCTTTGACCCTTAACTTCCTTCAGTTAACAAATCTGCCTCATCATCACTGCATTGCAAAACAGAAAAAAAAGAAGCAGTGAACTCTTACAACATGCACAGAGCCCACTGTTACACCAGGAGGAAGTGTGTCTCTCTGTTCCTCTTTCTACATGACAAACACTCAGGTCTGCTGCCTGTTCCTGCCTGACAACGAGAAACAATCTTCATGTAAACACAACAACAGTAAAATGTGCTTCAAGAGCATCATCTGATTACAGGCTGGAGACCAAATCATCACTTCAATTTTTAAAAAAAAAGAAGCAGCAACAGGTTTCAGTGCAGTGGAACAAGCAACAACTTGACTTTGTGGGTGTTTTTTTTTTTTTCCTCTCTGGCAGCCAGTTGAACCAGCTCATTGATCTCCGGTGTGTGTGTGTTCGTTTCTCACCTCCTCCAGAGCCGCCACCGAGTTCCTGCAGTGGGACATCCGGGTGGTGAAGCTGGAGGTGGTCGGAGCTTTGTAGTCCTCATTAGTCTCCGCGATAAACTCCGTCACGCTGATCAGCTCCGGCATTGTGAGCCCCAACAACAACAACACACAGTCCTAAATACGCAAAAATCCCTTCACACGACGCACAGTCAGACGGCAGGTGGAGCAGCCACACCTGGACAAAGTAACCCGGACGGTCACCAACAGCCGCCGCAGATCCTCCGCTCGTGTCTCATATCTGAAGGCTGGATTTTATTTTACTTTCTTTACTCTCTGACTCCGCTGAGATGATCCACTCCGGTTTCCATGTTTATGAAGCACCGACAGCCGTCACATTCCTCCGTCCTGCGGCTGCTTCACCTGCGGAGACTCACCGAGCAGGGCGGAGACTGGGCGGCCGACAGGAGCGCTCACTCTGCGGGCTTTTCCAGGAACCACGGGGCGCTGCGCCGCCTGGAGGCCACGCCCACCTCCTGACGTCATTAAAGCCACTTAAAGAGTGTTTTGATTGGACTTCTCCTTCCATACAAACTGACTGTGTTTAGAGGATTAATATTTAAGCAGCACAATATAGACTTTTACACAATAAAACCCGCCCACAGGTTTACAGTGTCAAACTATTCTCCCTAAACTAAACAACTATGCTTCTGAAGGATGGGCAGTGCTAGTTTGAAACCCAGTTGAGTTGAAATAAAGTGTATTAAAGCACCACAAAGACACACAAAATGACCACAGAGACAAGACGATCACCAAGAGACACAAAAGAAGCAAAAAGAGACACAAACAACACAAAGGGACCCAATAATGACCACAAAAACACAAAGAAACCCAACGAACAGAGATACAGAGTGGCTATGGAAAGACAGGAATGACTACAAAAAGACCACAAAAAGACACAAAACAATCACAAATTCCAATACAGAGAAACACAATGACCACAACAATGCACAAAACAACCACAGAGAGATTAAAACAACATAAAGTGACACAAAAACAGCCAAAGCAGAGACAATTAGACATAAAATGATCATGAAAAGACACTAAATGACCAGAGAGAGACACAAAAATAATGCAAAGAGATGAAACAATCAGAAACAGATACAAAGAGACACAAATTGCCACACAGAGAGAGAAAATGACAACCAAAACACACAAAACAGCTACAAAGAGACAAAAAACAGCCTCACAGAGACATAATTACAAGACCAAATGACATAACACAACTGCAAAAGGACACAAAAACACAGCAAAGAGACAAAAAATGACCAAAAAGAGTCAAAACACCCACAAAGAGGCACAAATAACCACACAAAGACAACAAAAGACCACAAAGAGACACAAAAACCTTACAAAGAGACAAAAAAAAGTCCTACAAAGAGACAGAAAACAATCTCAAAGAAAGACAGACTGCTACACGCAGACACACAAAAAAGGACAAACTAACCACAAAAAGACAGAAAACAATACAAATGGCCACAAAATAACTGCAGAAAGACACACAAAACACCACCTAAAGACACAAGATGACCACAAAGAGACATTAAACCACCACAAATAGACATTAAACTACAAGGGTAACAAATAGTTTCGATTCAGAGTGACACTGTCTGATGATGTCTTTATCACTGCTCCACAAATCTGCTTAGAAACACAGTTGGTCATCTTAGAACTGAGAACCTGCCTGAAAATATTCCTGTTTTTAGGTTTTTTCAGGTGATGGTTACATCTAAACACGAGCTGTCCGCAGGGCATTTCATCCCATCAGACATAGACAATCTGTGGCACCCAGCAGTGAGGGCGGGGCTAACAGGTGACTGAAAAAACACACCTGATCATGTCATTTAATATGTACTTCTACTACAGAGAGCTGATCATGTTTATGTACATTTACTACTGATGCTTGTACTACATGACAAAACGTTGTGCGATTAACTAATCAGACAGAATGAGGAGGAGAGTTGTTTTATGTCTCTTGCAAACATTTGATAAACTGTGTCACAGATGATACCAAATAAAAACAAGTAAACAGCATTCTAACTCAAACACCAATCAAACCACTGGTCAACTTGTATGAAACTTCTGTAGTTTTAAGAGAAGCTTTAATGCTTTTTGGGATGTTGTTGCCATCTAGTGGAGAAATGACTCAGATCACAACATCTGAACTATGGTGGTTAAGTCCATCTCAAGTACTTTAATTCAACTCTTAAACACTCAGGGTCATACATCCATCAATTTTGAAAACATATAAACTACACATTTAGAATAAAATAAACATGGTCTAAATGTGTCTGTAAATAAACTGAAGTAAATTATTTGTTTTTCAGAAATTTCCACGTCAGTATCACCAACATACCATAAACGTTCCAGTTTCATTCCCATCTACGGTCTGAACATTTTGATTTATAAAATATTTTATTTTGGGCGGCTGTGGCTCAGGTGGTAGAGCAGGTTGTCCTCTAATCACAAGGTTGGTGGTACAAAGTCAGACGTGTTTCTGGACGGTGTTAACATCAGCATTTCTGTTATTACTGCCACTATAAATCACTTCCAGGACAAGCTGAATTAGCAACTTCATCTTTTTATTGTTCTCAGTTGGAAAAGCTGTTTTTGTCACATAGCAATACAGAGCAAATCACAGTAAAACAAGGCAGATATATACTGTATAAAAATTGTATATTTACAAGACATGATGAAATAAATTCCAGAACAAAACAGACACAAAAATCTAATATTTTTCAGTTTAGCTACTTGATCAGTTATCTTCACTTTTAACAGTTTCTTAAATGCTGAATGCCCAGTTA